ATCAGCAGTCAGGGCTACCCTATGAATTGCTGTGATCTGTTGCCAGCCAGACTAAGGAAGCCTGCACAGCATGCTGAGATATATGCACAACACGCTCCTCCCTCCAACCCCCATTCCAGCCCCCACTGCACAGTGCAAGCTCTCCACTCTTCTGGGCCTCAGCATTGAATATCTGTACACACAGCTCTGAGTAAGTTTTTTCTAGATGAAGAAGAAACCCAAGAGAATAACCCAGGTTATTTGAATGCATGTACATAGCCAAAGTCCTTCCAGATGCTTCAGACTTGATTCCCTGCTCACCTACTTGATATAGGCCCAGGGCCAGGTTAACACATAGGCAAACTAGGCACATGCCTAGGACCCTGATCTGCAGCGGACCCCAGTCCTTCCCTCCATGGTGGCAGCGCAAATGGCCCCATCCACCTCCCTTCCCTTCCCCTCCCCTCTGCCGGCCTCACTCCTACAGCAGCTGCTTCCTAGCCATGGCTCTGAGCCTCGCAGGCAGCAGCACTAGGATGGGACGAGGGGGTCTCAACCAGCCCACAAGTTTGTTTGACTAGGGCCCACTAAAGGGTTAATCTGGCCTTGTATAGGCCTCGTTGCTTTCCAGTGCATTTGCCATATCTTGGCTTGATATAAAAACCAATAGCAGAACTGGGGCCTCAGTGAAGGTTCTGCCTAGATGATGACTAAAAATAAGGCTTCCCAGACTAGAACTTTAATGAGCTTGCAGAGGTTAAACTAGGAAATAGTTTGATCTGGTATCATTAACACTGACTAACCACTCTGTTGCATAGAAAGACTGGAGATAGGTGGCAACCAACTTGGATGAAATTAAAATACAGTTCCTTCCACTGGGCATGTCTACACAAGACACTATGTTGCTATAGTGACATACTACAGCGTAGCATGAGCAGGTGCATCATCCAGTTAGTTCCCAGCCAAACACTAGGCACTACTGTGCAGTAGCTTGTCACTATGGTGACAGAGTTGGAAATGACCCGTGCACCGCTGGGACTGTGCAGTCCCGGCTGGTACTGCGCAGTCGTTTAGTACTTGCTTTAGTACTAAAAGACTGTGCAACTACAAAGTAAGAGGCATGTGTAGACGCACCCGCTGATAGGCAAAGGCAAGCTTTCATAATCGGTAGATACCATGTTTAAACTGATCAGTCTGCACTGCAGATTCATCACCAGTGATTCGGACACCAATTCCCACAATTACTGTGGAAAGACCAACCTCATTCTTGGAAAGACCAACCAGTCTTATGCAAAGTCAGTGCCCTAAGACTGGAGAGCAAAAAAGAGATGGAAGGATGGAACTGAGTAGTGAGACTGCAAGGCCTTCTATTCCTGCACATGGCCATACAAGGAAACTATATGTAGTTAATGGAGCCCAAGTTCTCATTTATTTCTTGCAGCTACTCCCTTCTTTCTGCTGTGGAGCTCCTTAGCATGAATTGGAAGAAGCAGACCACTAGACCCATACACCCTGAAAAGGGCAGTCAGTTTAAGATTCTTTTCTTTTCTTTTCTTTTTTTTTCTTTTTTTTTCGGGGGGGGGGGGGGGGAGGAGGGGGGAAGGGTGGTCCATAAAGAGAACACAAGTTTCTAGCATACCCAGGACTCAAACTAAAGTTAGACCTGGAAATAATTTGAAGGAGGGAATATATCCTATGGAGTTCAAGTGTAATATGTTCCACTGATGAAACATCTTTATAGTTACCAGTCTCTATCAATTGAAATTCCCCTGTGGTCTTCAGAAATAGGCTCAGCTAGAGCATATTCTGATAATTTCATCTGGAACAGACAAAATCATAACTACAAGGTTTGTATTAGGAAGGAAAGGTTGTAACCTCCTTGCCAACAACAAAGGACTTACTCATTATCACAGTTGTTATATGGATATCTAGAAGCAACGATAAATCCCAGGAAAGTCCTAGATTATACATTTTAGCAATAAACATGAGACATTTGTCTCCTGTTAAAATAATAGATAGTACTTCATCATTTCTCTCTCATAAACTCCTGGATAAAACCTAGAGGATGCTAGATTAAGCCTGATCCAGTTAGTTCCTACCCAAACACCAGACACTTGGACAAGCTATTAACATCACAGAGTTCTAAGGAAAGTGGGTCATGGAGCTGAATGTCATTAGCATGCCAAACTACCTCCCTCTCTCTCTCTTTCCTATACACTAAAAAGAGCAGGCAACCAAATAGCATGCTTTAATGCACTGTTTAGGAAAATCTATGGGGCAGATACAAATTTCCTCCATTCTACCCTCCAATTTTCTCATATACAAAGGAATGAGGCCATCTTTTCTTTGGCAAACTCACAGTGTGAAACATTCGACTCTTTAACCAGGTAGAGCCAAACCATTTTTACCAAGCAATCTTTCACTTAGAGGCACTTCATTGAGTGGGATTTTCCATGATGTAATGATGGAAGGGAAAAAAACACATTGTTTCTATTATAACAATAGTACAGGATTTCATCAATCAAATTCAAGATGCAATATCTGAATTGTCACCAGTACTATATTTTCCTTCCTCTCAGCTCTCATAGATTATTTGTGCAACATGCTGATTTATGAAGATAAAGCAAATG